ACCTCCAATGAAGTCATGTCCTCACTGTGCGGTTGTCTGCTGCGTCAGGAGGCGTGTAGCAGAACACTCTCGCCTGCCGTTATGAACCTCGATCACCAGAGGAAGTCCTGTGTGCAGTACCGCAGCATTTTCTGGTGGAAAAGTGTTCATGTGAGCTCGTCTTTGTATTATGTGTTGGATCTTTATTGTTCCTGACACATTTTTATTCTAGCACATATGCAATACCATATAATTGTTGAATGAACCCAAGGCCTGTTAATTGTTTTGGTATTACAGAAGTCCTGCGGTATCACGAACGTTGTAACACTGCCATCAAACACGTAATAGTGTTGTCTCTTCTATTCATAGGATATTATATCAGTGCCTTCTTTCTACATTGTCACCTCATAATATTTTTTCTGATGTTTTGCAGTGTATTTTGGGTGGGCGCATAGAAAGTTGATCTGTTGGTATTTGTGTGATCCCAAGCGGTGTTATTACAGCATGACGGTGTGCCTTCCAAGGTGTGTATGGTCACCTATTTATACACTTATTGAGAAGAAGCCCATCCCTTTTGTTGGTGTCTTCTTAGAGCTTTAAGACTTATTGCATATCAGGTCACATTGTTGAAACACAACAGGTCTTACAGCTTACGATCACTATCAGGGTGGATGATGCAAGCGTGAATGCAGGAGAGTATAATATTATCATTTTTCATGGCAAATAAGATGATTGCCTTACTCTGCTGGGGCGTTGTTTTGTTTAGTGGGTATACAGTCAGGATAAGCTCTTCAATACCTTGAAGTAAAGGATTAAAAGCCAAAGATTTATGTATCGAATTCTGGAGTATTCTCATCAGAAGCCTGTGAATGGTGAGGGAAGAGAGAGCTCCTAGAGCAGAGTGCTGTTTAACAGGATCCGGTACAATCTGAGCTGCTTTAACCTTTCTACGTTAAAAGGTTGGTTTCTGAGTCTTCCCGTTTTTGGTGACAACTTAAGTTTTTATTATCGCTTAAATTGAAATTAAATTAAGACAAGAAGTTTAACTTACTTTATTAAGGCACTTCAGTGTTACAGTGTTTTAACATTCATTTTACCACCTCACCATCAGACCTTACAGGTAGAACAGGGGACTTCACATACAGGTGGAAGAAGAAACAGAGTTGATGACCACAAGTTGATTAGCTAATCATGTATTAGCAAGGCAGAAGGGAAAACTCCTGCCTCCACTTTTAGGCTGTGACGGATGGCAGTGGTGAGTGCCCTTTTCCTAGGAACAGGAACCTTGACTTACCACTGTGGCACTGAGTTCTTACTTTCTTTTCTCTGAGCCCGCCAAGGATCCTGTTCATGCTTCATCTCTCACACAGTGTTTGTTACAGGTATTCGTGTCACAACTTTATTTCTTTAAAAAGAGTAAATATGACAACTGAAGAATAACCAGGATTAGAAAGGATCTAGCTTTTTTTCTTAATTTTATGCATTTTAAAGACAGTTCAGACTTAAATTCCTTGAACTAATTATTTCATACCTTTAAGAATGTTATCCAGAGATCTCAAAGGTTATATTAAAAACAATTCCTGTGCATTTATATTATATTACCAATTAGTATGAGGGCAGATACTTATGCAAAGGGGCTTGAAGAGCATGTATATTGAATCTTTCACACACCTTTGCACTAGGTTTGGAGGTGGGGCTGCTCTTTGCGCAGTTTATCACGTACACATGGGAACTAAGACTTGGTCTGGTGATTGTGTTGTGTGAGCAATGAGCGTGACTGATTAGACTTCAACACTCTCGTTCCCTAGCCACCTACCTCACTCGTGAATGCCACCACAGTTTTCTTTGTCTCTTCAGGGCGCTTCGTCGACTGTGCTACGGAATATGATTGATACTCTGAAATGACTGATTTTAATGGGTTCTTATAGAGGACTTAAGTGTGTCTACTCTCAACATGTCATCGATTGCTTATCGATTAGGTTGAGTTGGTAAGACTAGATCCTGGACTCTCATTATGCTCCATATGAGGAGAATCGCTTCAGGAGACTTCGTTCTGGTGTCTCTCGCGCACACATTAAGCCAGTGCACTGCCCGTCCCGCATTAGATCTCTCTTGAAGTCTTCTCATTTTCTAGCTCCCCTGAGTAACATCGAGATAATCTCAGTTGAGACTAGTTCACGGATTATAGCACTCTCGATGTGTGGTCTTAGATCGGGTCATGCATATTAGCGTGCCTGGTATGTTTTGAGTATGTTGTTTGAGTACCTGTTCATTTAAACACAAAATACACAAGGGCGTTAATAATATCAATTGGTTATTTTTACATTCAAGAATTTCTCTTTTGAAAGGTTTAGAATATAATCCTTCCAAATTAAAATGGTCGAGCCAATTGGAATTGTGTTTCTTATTCATTATTACTAAGAATAGCTTATGTATTTTTTATAGTTTAATGTTATTTTAATAGCAAACTTACAGAAATAGTAAGAAGATAGGATTAAAAACATATTGCATGTAGGACAACCAGAAGTATAGTGAATGGATGGAAACTACTGTATGATAAAAATGCTACAAACACCATTTAGTTGCCATCAATGGAATTTTACTATTTTTAAAATCCAATGTGCATTTTCCAGAAAATTTAACAGGTTTATTTATAATTTATAAAGTTGAATCTGCTGGAACTTATTACTGAAACATTTTTGACTTGCATTAATGCTTCACATCCCCGCATTTATATTAAAACTCCAAACGCCAATGAAAATGGAAAAACTGCAACTTGATTTCTGTCCCGTTTTCCACTCGAAATCATATAGTTAGGTATCTGACCCTATGGAGGAAAATGACGTTCAGACAATACATAGAGAAGAGAGGAATTTTTCTTTTGGAATAAATGTTTCTGATCTTAGTGGATTCTTAAGCACTTTCCCCATGTATACAGCGTGCTACGGGTGTCTTTTAGCATGCATTTTACATGTTTAGGCATGGATAG